TTTTACCACTTCATCTTACCACTTCATGTGATACTGATAAAACTTGCCATTATTGCAAAATTGCTAGGCGAGAAGCGGAACTGGTTAAGCACAACAGTGCATTCTGTCCTCATAAATTCCCACTAGAATAATCCCTCAATTGATTGACTTCAACACATTCAAAATATCTCAATGTCATCAATTTTTCATTCAATCATCTCTCAAGTGTACCATTTTCAAATCCTCAATCTTCAAATCTTCGAGTCTATCAAGTTTTCGATTCAATTTCTTCAATCCTTTCAATTCTCTCAACAGAAGCCTTCAATTGCGATTTCAAATGTTCAAATTTCCGAAATCTCATGTTCAAATTTTCTTTTTTTCAACTCCGTTCAATACTTATTCTCAATTTCACCGCCATCTCTCAACTTGTATTCAAGTTCAATCCGTTAATACTCTCCGTTCCCTTTTTTCCTTTTTTTGCCTTAACCTTTGGTAGATTTGGTGCATTGTTATCGGTCGACTTAATACATTCAATATTATCGGTAGATTATTGAACAGTGTAATCAATTTATGTAATCAATAAAACATTCTTTCTCAAATTGAATCAATAAAGCTATGTTCAATGTCTTTCGAAACGGTTGAAAAGGGTTTAATCAAATAAAGTTGGAAGAAAATAACTCAAAAACATGAAAATGAAGTCAAAATCTGAATACTGTAATGTTCGATGGAACTACAATGGCGCTGTAGCAGAACTATTCCGATCGCAACAGAATAAAATGACACTCCAGGCAAATCGTGACAACAGTAGTGATATTTCAGCGTTTCGGTTTCAGTTGGACGTTTTATGTATTGATTGTATGGCCTCATCGTAAGTTATAGTTTTGTTTGTACAGTTTTCTCAACCCCCTCAAATTACACTACTCAGTCAAAGGTCAATTTCAACGTCAAATTTCCCTTCTGATGTAACGTTCCGCGGGGAGGATGCAGAACAAGGAAATCTATCGTTATTGACGTTTTCCTTTTTGCGCGGGGAGTGTCATGAAGCGATGTTCATGATGTCACTCAAGTCCCGCCCCCAAAGGATAAGAGGAGCGCGGAAGGCGGCGTCGGGTCAGCTTCGGTGGGAATCTGCGCTCGCGAGGCGGGAGGCTCCCAAAGCCCGCTCGCTGGCAGCGACTACCCACCAATTCCGTCATCAGATTGTCCGGTCGGAAAACCCTAGCCGTACGGCCCAGAGGGTTGGAGTCCTTTGTCCCGTGCTCTGGAGAGGAAACCGGGCAAAATAGGACGGCTGGCGGACTCGCTTGGAACGTAGACCCTTCAAGATTCAAGAAATTCAAAGCCTCACGCGGCAAAACTTAAATTTCAAGCTCCAAATTCAAATCCCATCTTTAAACCCATGATATGTAATGTTATTGTGATTTTGGCTCACTGGTACGATTATAGAGTTCATAATAAACGAGATTCGCTGAGATAATCTTTGCAAGAGAATCACCAAATCTTACATTTGGGAGTGATGCCCCAAGACAATTCACATCCTACGATAGTTATGGCTTTCGTAGCAGTATCGGTAAACTCGCAAAATCCATACACCTTTCGGTGATGAGGCCGAAAATCGATGCAAAGTACAGCCTCACAGAAATTTTAAAGGAAGTCGTTTAACTGAACTTCTAAGAATGACTTAATTCCAAAGTTAGACGGTGCGCCAGCGCGCAGATTGAATTTGATGCAAAAATGGCGCCGGGACGAGATTATCAACTACATGCCGTCAAAAGACAGCAAGCTAACCTCCCTCTGAACCTTAGCAGTATCAATTTGATTGTTCTAGTAGCAAAGGGCCTGCACAAAGACATTTTGATTGGATTTTGCTCTTAAAATCTACTCTACGGAAGCTATCAATTTCAAATTAGGACCTATCAAATGTTCACTGTGTTCAATTCCTTCTTCATTATGAGATGTGTTATATTTTGTGGAAGCTAGGGTTCACTTTTCACTTTGCACAATAGTGCTTATACACTGATCTCTAGAAATAGCAAGGCAGCAATACGTCAGTTACTGTCCTTGGAGCGTTGTAAGGTTTTGTCGGCATCAAGACTTTATGAAGGAAGATGCAACTTCTTTGACGTCTCCATTCCTTCCCAGGCCTAACTTAAGTCATTCTTTTCACGAACGGTAGTTCACACATACAAAGAAAAGTTTTTGATTGTCGTCACAAAGAACATTTGAAGAACGAGAACAAGAACACGGCTTTGGTTATAAGCAACTATACTTATACCTATGACCTTCTAACCTACAGCTGATGACCTTGAGCAATGGTTCAAGGAAACTAAGGATTGCACTGTGGACCTATTGTGCTTTCACTTTCGCACTTGGAAGACACAGCCGAAGCAGTGAGTGAGAGAGGTAGATGAAAAGAATCACGATAAGTACAACAATTCCGCACATCATCACTATTAAATCAAGATTGTAATATATAACGAATCCTAGATTTCTGCCAGTCACTTTGAATTCGGGTAGATCACCAAACTGCGCGGCCAGCTCCACTGTTCTCACGAGCTTTTGTTGCGGGGTAAATTGACGCTGCGATAAAAGGCTTCTCATACGATGCGCAGCTGATCGATACCTGAACAGTAGAATTCGCATAGTCATTTTCTGGGCTCCTGTGTAATGCTAGTGATCTTACAGTGCACTTCTTACCTAGGATCGTTAAGAACTATGTTGAGCGATTCATTGAGCACGTTACCATGAAGAAGTTGACTTTTTTCAACAACGACACCTGAAATATTAGTTTCTCTTTTTACTCTGTTGCTCTTCGTAGATTCACTATCTTATTTCCAACTTATTTTTAGAGGAAAACGACAGCAAAAAGGAATACTGCAATATACGCTGGCATTTCTTTTACATTTCATGTAGAGATTACTAGAAAAAATCGTGGATGACGAATTTTATGAGTATTGTAAGAGTGCCCTCAATTTCACAGTATTCCAAACGCGCTTTACAGACTACCGGTGTGCCAATAATTGTTCATTTTTCACTCAGCACATTGATTGCTGTGAGCGCAATAACGCTTATACAGTATGCTTGCTGTATAAACGTCATTGCGGTACTTACTGTCTTGCTCAACAACCACCAGGAAAGATAATCAGGCCAACCCTGTGATAAAAATGAGGTGCACATTTCTACATGCTCCTTGACATGCCGAGCTAAACGTACTTCCATGAAAATATGCCTAGAGCCTATTAGGGCACGTTTAAACAAAAGCAAAATAAGGCTAAGCAGTCGATTGCAAGAGCTCTTATTGTTAGCTGTGAGTTCGGACTAGCACTGCTGTCCTTTCCGGCTTCACAAGTGAGTTTAATTTTTATGTAGATAGCGGCATATGTTAGCTCATTGTCCCAAGGTGCGTATAGGAATGTACTACATTTCGAATGACAGTGCTGGCATAATGACCTCTTATGATTGGCCTACTATGAAACCCTAAAAAAAAGACAGCCCTTGAAGCTCGGGTTGTTGGCAGGCTGAATAACGGAAATAAAATAAGGAATTCCTCGACCATCGCTCCTGCTGTGCGAGAGCCGATAGTGAATGTACGCGCGGAGAGCACAGACGGCTCGCGGGTGGCGAGAGTGAATATCCGCGCGCGAGAACGTAAAGGATCAGGCGAAAATCCTCGACGTGCCGTTGAGGAATCCTCAAGCAATATTCACCCCGGCTGTTGGTAGGTCTGTTCACTTCTTTATTGAAATGGGATTCCGCAAATCCCCTTATCAAAGAACTTCAATAGCAAGAGCCTCACCTAGTGAAAAATCTTCTGGAATCCTCTTTCTTCCACATAGTTCTTGAAAATTTCTCTCATTATGAGAAACATCTAAATTCCCAGCAAAAACGGGAGATCTTCACCAGCAGACATTTTACTCCGAATCGTGAGATTCCTTCAAAAAGGGGATGTGTCATGATCAATTCCGCTACGGTGCTGAGATTTAATCGAGCAAATGGCGCAATCTGACTTCAGAACGTCCCTTACACTCTGCCTCTGCATGTGAAATCTTCAGTAACTCTCCCCATCTTCGGCAGTCTTTCCTTACACTCTATCCTTGTACCTGCAGTATCCCCTAACTTATAAAGAACTTTTCACAACGTTCCAGAAGCATTTCGTTCCAGACTTCTTCCGAAAGAATTCATGTGGTCCAGTGAATCGACAGCCATGTAATGGTGATAGTATGAATTCTTCAGGCATATTCTTCGATAGACGAGTGGATAGGGCAATTAGGGGCTGAGCCACTTCCCTGCCTTGGACCCCCTTCAAAATTTTCACCTGTAATGCAATTGACTTCGCATAAGAGAAACTTCACGCCGAAATGGAGTGGTATGATCTCAATGAGGTTCCTCATCCTACTATATATAATCCGCTAAGCGGTTGTGTGTGTGTCCGTGTGTGTGTGTGTTTGTCTGTCTGACCGGAAATTCATAGCTCGGGCACCAGCTGTCGTCAGGAGTTGATTTCAGATATGATATAGGGGGTGGGACGGGAACATATTTGGTGGGGACCAGAAAGTGATAACAGCTGATAAGGGCTGATAAGAAGCGTTAGAACGCAAATGTCACGAAATTCACAGCGCAAGGCCCAGCAGCATTGAGGCGTTGCTTTGCAGATATGATATAGGGGGTGGGACGGGAACATATTTGATGGGGACCAGAAAGTGATAACGGCTGATAGGGGCTGATAAGAAGCCTCTGAGAAATTCTTATCCAGATGTGGGATAAGAAAACATCTCATTTTTGCGATGTAGTCGTGATCCATTCGACCGCTAATCTGCCCGAGCTTCCTAAGATGGTCGGTGTCTGTGGAAATACGATAAATTGGTAATTCTATCGCATCACCGGTAAAGAAGTTATTAGACCGCTAAACTATCCCAGTATCCAAGCATGGTAGATGTTTACGCTGAGGGCTGATAATAAGCAGCCCAAGTAATTGTATTAGTTATCCAAAGGTCATTCGGCTGCTAGACTTTGTTAGTTCTAGAAAAATGATGGATGTTTATTGGTATTGGAGCTATGCTTTACTGCTTTATCATCTGCTTTCCTTGATACCATCAGTGAAACCAATTGAAAGTTCACAGAAGCCTATGTTGACATGCGCGCGATAGCGGGCGGAGCAAAACTTGTCTAGAAATAAAGAAGAAATGTAAAGAACTCCAGTCTATCATTCAGCAGTTTGAGTTATCTACACTGAACAGTGAACTTTTGTAAAACCTTACAACACCTGCGAAAGTGACTCTTGTTCACTGAATTGAACTTGCTTACCAAAACCAAATTTCTCGATCAGCTTCGCATTTCTTATCTGATCGCCGAACAGCGGAACTACAACGAGCGGTTTTCCAAATGTTGCGCTCTCCATCATACTGCCAGCGCCGCCGTGAGTGACAAAAAGCGTCAACCGCTCATCAGCTGGAACATTGAAAACATGAGCAGAGCAAAATGAAAGAACTTTTCTGGTATGTAATAGTGTGCAAATAAATTGATTCCTACGTCACTGTGCAACAACAACAATATCATTTTTCGCTTAGAGGAATCCTGCGCGGAAAATCCATGATTCTATTTCTCTCATGAAACACTGACTTGAGTCCCATAGGTCACGATGAGAAAGAAAAGAACGAGAAATAAGTGTTTGTTTTGTAGAAAAATTCAAAAAACCGAGAACCTATTAGTCGTTCAAATTCCCGCCAAGCTGACGTCACGAGCTAATTGCGACGGGTACCTTGTTTCTTGGAGTGTCGCCACCGGAAATTCTTGGGCCTTGACCTAATTTTACGCTTTTTTGTTTCACAGCTTTGCTTTCCCTCCTCCTGGGTTCCTTCCTACTCGTGTAGACTTTTGGGCGAAACTCGGATTCGGGGGGCCACCGAATGGCGCGGCGCTCTGTTCGTCTGCTCCTCTAGTGCTTAGTCCGTAGGGACAATTACTCTTTCGCATCACGTGGCAGTTTCGAAATACGCGCCATCGGAGGACTAAGCCTTGGTGGAACAGGCAAAAAATTGCGTGGCCCCCAACCTGAGTTTTGCCGATTTTTGCTGTCTGGTCTCGGCCTTTGAATCCCATTTTCACGTTAGTAGTACAAGGCTTATGTCGCCTCGTTGTGTGTCGAACATTCTTCCATGCAATGCTCACTAGCTACGGTTGTATTTAATAATATTCGAGTGGTAATCTGCATTCGATTCTTTCTTTCCGCGAAGGATTCCTTTAAGCTCTGTCACCATTCTTACATGGGATTTGCAAAGATCAAGATTCAACTGTTCGAGTACTATCATAACACATGGAATATGTTGTCATTCTGTTTGTTTCACTGGGTATGTCTTCTTGTAAGGTATTAATACAATTTTGACAGAGGAGTGCATTCAACAATTAGCGTAACAAGTAACGTAGAGTTTCTGCATCCACCGCCTCCAAAAGAGCCGCAGATCCACGGACCCATCCCACGAATAAGTGAGAATGAAGTCAAAGAAGCCGTCAAAAAGATGAAGAACATGAAAGCCACTGGGCCAGACGACATTCCTGTAGAGGTCTGGAGACAATTTGGAGGCTATTCCTTTTTGACGGAACTCTTCAACAACTGTATAGAAAAAGGAGTAATTCCGAAAGATTGGTCAAAAAGCATCACAGTGCCCATTTATAAGAAGAAAGGAGACATTGCTAATTGCTCCAGTTACCGTCCTATTCGTCTAATGTGTCACACTTTGAAGATCTTCGAACGAATTCTAGACACCAGACTAAGGGAGATAGTCAACATAAGTCGGATGCAGTGTGGATTTCGACCTGAGCACAGCACCACCGACGCCATTCATGTTGCCCGACGGATGATGGAGAAAGCAAAGGAATGGAATAAGCCGCTCCACATGGCCTTTTTAGACCTGGAGAAGGCCTTCGACAGAGTGCCACGACAACTCATTTGGGAAGCCCTCAGATATCAACAAGTACCTGAAGCACTTGTCAAAGCTGTACAGCTGACCTACCTCAACTCCACCACTGCCGTCCGCACACCAGTAGGAGACACCCCACAGTTTCCGGTAACCGTTGGAGTCCATCAAGGATCAGCCCTTTCACCACTACTTTTCATCCTTTGCATGGACTACGCCACGAGAAACATCCGGAAGGAGCCGCCTCTGACACTGGGCTACGCTGACGATGTGCTGCTTATGGATCGATCAAAGAGAAAGTTAGAAAAACGTGTCAACCGCTGGAAGAAACAACTCGATGATCACGGACTCAAGCTCAACATTAACAAGACGGAATACATGAGCACGGTGGTCACAGAATCGTCAATTGTTGTAGCTGGAACTCCCCTACCAAAGACGGCTAAATTCTCATACCTCGGATCCATGCTCTCTGCGGACACTGACACGAAAGCCGACACGACTGCCAGAATCAATGCAGCATGGAACAAATGGCGAACGGTCACCTGTATCCTTTGTGACAAGAAAATGCCAATACGCCTAAAGTCCAAAATATACACCTCAGTCGTGAGGCCGGTAGCTGTTTATGGAGCAGAAACGAAACAGATGACGGCTGACGAAACAAGAGCCTATGGATCCATGGAGATGAAAATGTTGCGATGGTGCCTGGGACACACGCGTCTAGACCGCATTCGGAATGAACACATACGAGACAAAATCAAAGTTCAACCTATCGCCAACACCCTTGCTGCCTCACGCCTCCGCTGGTACGGTCATGTCCTACGAAGACCCCCTGATGCTGTGTCCAAGTCGGTAGACAACATAGTGTTCGTCGGTACACGTCCAAGAGGCCGACCCAGAAAGCGATGGCTAGACAACCTGAAATACGACATGAAT